AAGACAGACTTTTGATAGATTCCTTAGCAATATGAGCTTCTGCATATTTATGTCGAAACTTCAGGAGTGGCTGTAACTTTGGTTTAAACAGACAGGAAAACGATTCAAATATAAACTCCATCTTCCTTTAGAAAACTTTTTGGGATGTTATTGTCACATATTTCCAAAAATCCTTTCTAGGTTCCAGAAACCATATATACTTATACCTTTAGTTTAAGCAGGCACAGCAAAATTCCATTGTTTTGGTTATAAAATGTTTGATATCTAATATCCATCATCTATATGATTTTTAATGTGGTTACACAGGATAAATATTGAGATACTACTGTGCAAGTGGCTCAACTGTAAAGCATTATGTAGATGTGTATTATCATCAAGATACCACTATTTGGGTCATAGTTATTTAGGTAAGAAATCACTTTAAAATTCTGCTGGGTGAGTTGAGGAAGGCTTCCTGCAAGAAATGACATTTGAGGTAGACCTTGAATGAGTGGTCAAGGTGAGAAGGTGAGGCTTGGGAAGAGGAGTTAATGTTCTTTTAACAAAAGAAATAAGATAGCAATCTCCAGAGTGCATTTAGGAAATGAATAGGGCATATTTGGGCATTTTGTTAACATTATGATAGTTGTGTAAAAAGCATAGGGTATATAATGTGAAGTATAGCTGGGGGTCTTTAATGTCCTTCTGAGAAATTTGGAATTCTGTAGACATTTTTTCTGTTTATTGGTTTATCTGAGGAAAGCAAGGCAGTACTGGTGACAGTTTGAAGGTTGCATTGTGAAGGTAAAGAAAACAGCTGTTTCCTAGTGTTTCATACTTTTTTTTTCCCCTAGTTAGATTTTTAACTTAGAATCAACTTGATCTCTGATGGACTGTGTCTAGTTAAGTGCTACATAGTAATGGTTGCACAGTGTTTATTTAATATGGGTGGATTTCTGCTTTGGCAATTTCTTTTAAGTAGAGGTAATCCTGTTTTATGTTGTGTTGTTTTTAATGCAAACCTATGAGTAGGGCAAAAAAACCTGGGCTTCTTATGTTTACCAACAGCTAATGACACCATTTAGAATGTATATAAAGTATGTACAAAATAATGAAGAGTAAACAATAAGCATGTGGGTATGTGAAGGACAAATTAAGCCAAATAAACTTGTTATGTTTGCTTCTTATGGTGTTTGCTTATTGCTTCTTACTGTGTTTGCTTCTTAATAGACTAGAATTACAAAACTAATATTCAATAGAAGGAAAGCTAATATCTAATTTTCACTAGAATGATTAACACTATTTTAGGAACACTAAAATAAATTATCATTAGTTGTAAACGTGGACTAAAGACTAGCAATTGGATCGTGCCAAAGGTAATGATGGCCTCATATTTCTGAATTGGTGGTGGTGGTCTGCATGGTGCTATAGGTGTTATATTAAATACAGTTTTATTTAAATCTTATTAATTAACTGGAAGAAGGCATGCAAGAAAATCCACAAAAGGTGTGAAATTTTGATTGTAATTAAAACAGAGAACTGAAAAGAATTAGAGTGATGAGGCATGCCTAGGTAGACAATGAAATTTCCTTTGAGAAGTTAATTCCCTTGAGAGGAAAATGGGACAAATTTAATACATTAAAAATGTTTTGTTTTTAATTTGGCATTTGCCAATGAGTAAAAATTGAGTGACTTAGTTAGAAGTGTGCCTTTTCATTTGTGATCCTTTGTATCCAGGATGTCAATAATCCAAAATCTTTTACAATATGTAAAACTTAGATATATGATTTCATAGCATATAGATACACATTTGATCATGGAGAAAAATTTTAAGACTAAGAGAAACTTACAACAGGAAGCTTGTAGTCACTTTTTGTGGAGAAGCTTTCGTTCTAGAAAATGTTTTTAGAAATGTCCGAAATCACTACTTGGGGAGACATGTTTATTTTTTCTTTAAAGAGAAAATATTATAAGTAGTTTCCTCATCTGTCAGTAATGCCTACCCTGAATATTAAATTAATGAGACTCTACCAAGAAATTGCCTCTAGAAGTTTGTCCTCCAAAAAAAAAAGTTAACTTTTTCACTTTACTATTAAATTAAGACTATATTTTGAGAAAAGTGCCTTCTTAATCCACATAAACCTTGAAGCCATAAAGATAAGATTGATAGACCTGACTATATAAACATTATAAAATAAAAATTTTCTAGGGAAACAGCAAAAAAAGAAGGTAAAAGGAAGAAAAATCAAATGAAGTGGAAAAACAAATGACATTGGAAAACGTATTTACCAACTACATGACAAAGAATAAAGATCTAGAATATACAGATAGTTCTTATAAATTAATGAGAAAGAGATGAACACACCAGCATAAAGTTAGGTTAAAATATAAACAGGAAATTTACACATAAAGAAAGTAGTAGGATTGGATGATATATAAAATACTAATAATATTTATAACGTTAAATATAAAATATTAATAGTTACACTTCACAGATATTAACTCCTTTAATTCTCCCAGCTGCTAATTGGCAGATACTGTTGTTATCCTTGCTTTACCGTTGATGAAACTAAGGCACCAAGAATTTAAGTAACTTTGAACCAGTGGAGCCAGCATTCACACTCAGTCTGGCTCCAGGCTGTACCCTTAATGACTGTAGCTCACTAATAATCACAGCAACGCAAATAAGCACAACTATGATGTTATTGGTCACCTATAATATTGGCATAAATGAAAACATTAATAACAAGTGTTGGTAAGAGAAATGGGCTTCCCTCTCACTGTTGGTATGCATGTCAGTTGGTACAGACTTTGTGGATAGCAATTTGGCAATATGTAGCACTAAATAGAATGTACATACCTTTAGACCTAGAAATGCCAAGCTCAGATTTTCATTCAAATGAGATATGCAGACAAGGGTATAGATGTATGTACAATTATGTTTATCTCAGTGTTTATATTTTAAATTGGAATATAATATTTTTAAATTGGAAATAATTTAAATATTCATTGATAGGATATTGCTTAAAATCTGTTGCACACAATCAGTGAAATACTATATGTATAATCATTAAAAAATACCTGATATAGGGCTGTATGCTTTGACATGGAAGGACTGTTCACAACCTATTGAGTGAGACTAGAGTAAGATCACTATGAGGGAAGGTACAGCAGTTATCTTGTTCATTGACCACTGCTTGGCACATTGTAAGCATATGGAAACTACTGGATGTATGGTTGGATGGGTGGATGGTTGGATGGGAGAATATGGTATAATGGAAATAGTCTAAGACCTGAAACTGGAAGGTTTCTGTTCTTGTTTCCTTCTTCACTGGAATTCACACCCTTTAAAACATTGATGTTCTACAAATATTTCTTTTAAAAGAAGCAATTCAGCTTGTACTAACATCTGTATTAGTTTCTTAGGCCTTCTGTAACAAAATTACCACAAACTGGGTGGCTTAAAACAACTAAAATTTATTCTCTCACATTTCTGGAGGCTAGCAGTCTGAAATCAAGGTGTCAGCAAATCATGCTCCTCCCTCCAAAGGCTCTAGGAAAGAATCCTTCCTTGCCTCTTCTGGCTTCTGATGATTGCCACCAATCCTTGGTGTTCCTTGGTTTTAGACAGTAACTCCAATCTCTGCCTCTGTCTTCACGTGGCCTTCTTCGTTGTGTGGCTCTTACAAGAACACCAGTCATTTGGTTTAGGGCCCACCCTAATCCAGTATGGTTTTATCTTAATGAATTATGTCTACAAAGACCCTATTTCCAAATAAGACCACACTCTGAGGTTCTGGGTAGACATGAATTTTAAGGAACACTATTCAACTTAGTACAACATCAAGCTGAATACAGCCTTAAGGATAGTCTTTGAATATACAAGCTTTTAAGTTTTACTTTTTAAAACACACCAAAAAACTATTTCAATTTTAGCATTCTGACTGGAAACAAAATATATTATATTCCACTGTCAATACTTAGGATTATATTATTGTGGTAGCTCACAGCAAAAAAAAAAATGTGATAATGAATATATGTATGTTCATGTATAACTGAAAAATTGTACTCTACACTGGAATTTGACACAACATTGTAAAATGACTATAACAATAAAAATGTTTAAAAAATACTTAGGATTATATTAAAATATTACCTAAGAAACTAGAAATAAGATTTAATCTTAGAGGATAAAATAAAGTCAGTATTTAATAGGTCATAATGAATATACACAAAGATGCCTGAAAGAGAGAATGGGTTCTAGTCTTAGTAGACTATTAATGATTGACTATGTTATCTTTTCCACAAAGAGTGTTAAGTCTGTTAACAGAAAGGAAGCTTGGTCAACAGTGAAAGAGCAAAATAAAGAAAGTCACAGGGTACATGTTGGTTTTGTCCATCTAAACCTTGTCCAGGAGACAGGGGCCTTCTGAGTGCACTTTTACTTTACTTTTTAGCAATGGAACTTTTTTCCTCCAAAAGAAATCTTAAATAGATTCTAAGCGTATAAAGTAACAAAAAACAAAGAGCCTCAGAGACACCTCCTTAGAATGTTAATGCTCCAAGAAAGACTGAAAACTGCTTAAGCTATGAAATAATTCTCTTTATCTAACTCGCCCTTTTTAGGTTCCACACTTAGCAGTGAATTTTCTGGTAAAGAGCTATGGTTTGTCACATAGGGTCTGCCTGTCACAAGAAAGTAGGCTCACCTTTTGGAGAAGACTTCTTTCTAGTGTGAGTAACGGTTATGCTCCTCATTGTGTGTTAATAGATTGGCATTCTAGCATTATAATCCTTAATCAATGTTGTTCTGCCCTTAAGACATAATTCCACTCTTGGTGGGCTGACAAAATAAATTTTGAGCCTAAGAACCAGAACTTGGGCTGCGATTAATTGACCAAGGATGGAAAAGCTTTTTAGTGAGGCCTTTCAAATAGACTGCCTCCTGACCTTTCCAGCAAAACACAACCAGACACAGTCATCAGCTCCGTGAGCATTAGTTTTTTCCTCATTTGAATTTC